TTTCAATTTGTTTAAACAAATGTGTAATGAAGTACATTTTGGGTTTCCTTAAATCTGAGAAATGTTTTGGGAAAGGACTGGCGACATTGTTCCCCGGCCTATGGAATTCAAAAGTGTAGCAATTTTCATTTTCGTGGAAGAAAATGAGATTGAGCAAGCACCTGAGAAATGGAACATTTGCTCTGAGAGAGAGAGCACGCACGCATGTGAGTGGTAGATAATGAGGGTATGCATAAGATCATTATAGTACCTAATGGAGTATATGGACTGCTATAGGTCGATAATGTACGAATGCACAAGTGATATCTACCATTTGCATTTTTTCAAAAACCTAACTATTTAAGAGGTCACATAAGGAGTAAATAAGACTGCTATTTGATAGTGTAGACGCCCCTCCAAAGCCAAGAATGGAAGTAACACAAATAAAATAAAAATTTCAAGGCAGGCATTCGTGGAATTTAAGATCAGCTCTCCAAACTCCTATCTGAGTCTGATTGCTTTGGAATACTGACTCCATTGTTCATCCTTGCGCGAGCCTCGGCAAACATCCTCTGCTGCTCAGCTAATGCTTCTTCCTCGGTCATTTCGGCACCGCTACTCCATTTCCCAGCTTTAGGGGAGTCCTAATATTTCACAAAGAAAAATGTAATAATAGAAGGCATAAGATATCTATTGACACAAGAAGATTGAGACAAAAAAGAAGTAATAGACCGCATAGGCACCAGTGTTTCAAGCTTATGCTGTTCATATGCTGCATAGACTTCCTCAATGTAATCGCCAAACCCAAGAACCTGACAATATAAATATAGTCAAATCAATACGTATATCAAGGTACATGGCTGAAAGGTATCGATCTAGATAAAGCAAAATATGTGTAGCCCAAAAACTTACCCGTACAATTACCCTAAAAAAAACTTTTCTGTAAATACACCAAGCAAGTCTACTTGCATAAACCACTTGCAATTCAAAAACAATTAATTAAACCCCAAGTACAATCCAAGGATCGTCCCTTATTACCATTAAAACAAACCTTTTATTCATAAAGAAAAATGACTTGCAAAATCAAAATGAATCAAGAACAAAGGAAGCCGTCAAGCCTTTCAACAGAACAAATTGCCTCGGGATCGCCTCGAAAGGACTTTGCTACACCACACTGATCCCTGCTGAATCCCCTTAAGATGGATAGTATTACGTCAAGCCTAAATTCATGAAGAAGAATGAGTAGTAGATCTAGGGTTAGATTGGGCGTCCCACCTATGTCTTATCTTGGGTGGGACATGCCACCTCAGGAGGCCTGGGTAGTGTGTCCCACCCTGCAAGGGTACAGAGCGAAAAAGACAGAGAGAAGGGGGGGAGGAGAGGAGCATGAGAGAGAGAGAGAGAGAGGAGCATGACAGAGAGAGGACAAGCATCAGAGAGAGAGTACCTGGGGCGAGAAATGAGGCGGGTTTGGGTCCACCTGATCTTGACCAGATCCTGGTCGCATATGGGTTTGGTTCTACTTCGGATCCTACTCGTACCAATATATATATATATATATATATATATATATATATTGAGAAAAGGTTAACTTAGCCTATGCAGTATACATTGGTATAAAATTATATAAAAATATCAACTATATAATATAAAACATATAAAATAAAGTTTTTATTTTTTATGTATTGGCCTAGACCCGACCCATCGGGGGTCTATCTTAGAACTCATCACCTGCACTAGGGTTTGCCATTTGTACGAGATTCAATCTAAACCATTAATCTCTAGTGATATGAGGTGTGCAAAGAGACTTTTAAAAGCCTTCAATTCCCTAAAAGATAAAAAATCATCTAAAAGCTTTCCAAATCTTCTAGAACACTTATCCCAGCTTTCCTAACTTTTCCAAATTTCTTTGAAAAATAAATATGAATTTAATTCGATAAAAAATCAGGGAGGAAGAGGATAGAGAGGGGCGTGTGGGCCTAGGAGCCCGAGTAGGCCACACCCCCAAAATGGGCCCTCTCCCACATGTGGACCCTCCTTGGCCACTTGGTCCCATGTGGGTCCTACATAATTTTCAAAGCCCCAAACAAATTTTAAATCCCTCTTAAGTATTTTTAAAAATGTCATAGAATTTTTTAGAATACATTTGTTCTCAATTAAAGAATTTATGATGCGAAATAGAACATGTAATGCACTTTAAATATTCATTTTTGTGTTTAATTAATTTTCTAAGACATAAAACAAACATGATTAAAAGAGAAATGGATCCATCGAGTCAGAAATTGCTAAGGCACTGCACCTATGCCAGTTCCAGTGATCCTAGTCTATCTTCTCAAACCAAGCTAACGGAACCCATGACCCACAGTTTACCCTAACGGGTCGCTTCGCATAGATACAAGTATCATGAATACACGCTGCACAGTGCTAATGTTGAGAATTTTAGCTCTCACAAGCCACTAAACACACACCGGAGACCGACTACCTCCTAGTTAATCCACCCTGAGCATCTTTATTACCTCAACAAGGGATGACCCCTGCAAACCCTCCATGCTTATTCCTTATGCCTAAGGTTACAGGGTTTTAGACTCCTCTCCGGGGTTTAGACCGCCCAACCTGGGTTAGTCAACAGGCATTACAAAACATGCCTCAATAGTTCCATACAAACTACATCTCACTGGAGTACAATATCATAATAGTCATAAGTTTTACATACTCTCAAGACCTTTAAAGGCCACATACCCAAACAATAGCTGTCGACACAAGTAACTTGAAATGGGTGCAAAAGTAACTTTTGTTAAACTTCCAAATGCAGCGCAGCTAATAAATGGGGATTGGACACTGGGATTGAATAAATATGGGATTCCATCTGATTTGCAAGAGATGCCCATGAGTTTCTTCGATGAATGACATCACAAGCACATAATCAACATGTACCGAAATGCACCTTTGCAAGAGGGCGACAAGACACACTCGTACTCTGGTCTTAATCCTGGAGGATGCCAAGACATGCTTATACTCTAGTCTTAATCCTAGAGGATGCCTAGACATGCTTATACTCTGGCCTCAGTCCCATGAGCATGCAAACCAGCCTCAAATATCTCTGTCCCAACCAGAAAAGCGAGCCAATACGGCATGCCCATCCATTTGCTTCATGTGTTTAAGAGACATAATCCACATTTTGATCTCAGAAATTTCTTTATATGGTAACGAGGTTTTGCACACTCCAAAGCCAGATGGCCCATACACCTTTCTTTTGCTAGTGTTGATAACATTACTCAATATGCATCCATCTACTTCACTAAAATTAAACCAGAAACCTGTGTTGCTTATCAAGAAATGATCCAAACTCAATTTGGAAAATGTAGCGAGGTCTAATCAAGTCATAGTTGACTCCAATGAAGATTGGCCAAGTCAATCTAGGTCTAGATGCTTACGCACCAGACTCAATTGAGTCCCAAACCAAAACTGACCTTTATATCAAGTCAACTCGCAGGATTTGAGAGGCTGCACGAGAGGATCTGCGAGAGGCTGTGCGAACACACTCGAGGGAGGATCTGCGAGAGGCTGCACAAGAGGATATGCGAGAGGCTACGCGAGAGGATCTGCGAGAGGCTGCTAGGTGCTGGTGGCTGAGCGAGAGGCTGGCGAGAGAGGCTGAGCAAGAGGCTGCGAAGGCTGACCTTGTGCGAGAGGCTAGCGTGAGAGGCTGAGCGAGAGGCCCCGAAGGCTGACCTTGAGCAAGAGGCTGATCTGCTGCGTGCGAGATCCTCTGCGAGCAAGAGAGCCACCTGTGTGTGCCTCTATGAGAATCCCTTCATTCTGCGCCACCAGCGAGTGACTCCAGATCTGCGGCCTTCAGATCTGCAATGCAGTGTATGATTTGATGGCTTCCCCACCCCCCTCTGGTATGCCTCTTTTGGAGAGAAAACCTCCTGATTTTCAAGCGGTTCTTTCTCGTCTTTGCGAAAGTAGTAATGCTCTTTGTTTTGGTGGTGCTGAGCCCCTTAAGGATAGAACCTTTTCTGCTAGTATTTCTGATGGTGGCCGTCATCTTGGTGTTGGGGACGGATCTACCCATTATCCTATTATTTCTGATCAAAGATTCAACATCAGAGATGGATCTGGGTCTTTAGTCCTAGCTTCGAAGCCAGATCCTTGTGCTACTTATCGTGTGATTTCTGGGTCTGGTTTTGGAGAGATGCCTGTGAAGGATAACAATTCAAAGGAGTATAATGGTGCTGGCCTTCGTGTGGTCGCTGAAGATAGCAATGTGAAAGTAAATGTTATGGGTCACAATCTTTCTACAGAAGATGATGGTGAAGCTGTCCATCTTGGGGAAGGATTGGGTGTTCGTAGTTCTGCCCCTTGCGATGATCCTCTTCAAGATGGCTTTGAAAATCCTCATATGGGTCCTGCCCCAGGATCTATTGCTGTTGTTCTTGATGGGGTCATCAGGAGTCCTATAAGGGAGGCCTCTCCTCTATTGATGGGTGTTTCCAGCAAAGGCAAGGAGGTGGCTGCTACTCCTTGGAAAAAAATTTGGGTAGTAAGAATGACCTAGGATCTTCCTCGGGTCTTCATGGTGAAGGTGTCGTACGGGAGGAATTTCCATCTCTAGTTCCAAAGAACAAGAATGATAATTTAGCTAACAGCTGTTGGGGCTCGGGTAGGTCTTCAGACCTGTTACTTGGTGCCAAAGGTGTCCAAAATGGAGTGTTTTACTTTGAAGAGATGGATACTTCCCCTACTGAAATTATTAATGGTAAAAAATTTGTCAAAATTGACAAGAAGGTGATGGACTCATGTCGGAGCCAGTGGGAAAACTGTCTATTGGGATACTTCTTGGGCCGCCGACCTGATTAGAACTACATGAAAGAGATGTTGAAGAAGATGTGGAGGCTTGAGCAGGATGTTGAAGTATTCTCCGCTGATGGGGGCTTCTTGATTTTTCGTTTCCATTCTAGTAAGGAAATGGAGGTTGCTCGCTCTAGGGCACCTTGGTTTATCAACAAAAAATGTTTGGTGCTTCAAAAATGGGATCCTTCAATACAACCCTCTAGGCACTCGCCATACTGTGCCGGTTTGGATCAAATTGCCAAGGTTACCATTGGTTTATTGGGAATCAAAAATTCTTTTCTATATTGCCTCCAGTGTTGGAAAACCCATCTTCACGGACAAACCGACAAAACTTAGATCAAAGGCTGAGCCAAGGGTGTGTGTTGCATTGGATCTAGATACCATTTGTTCGACTGAAGTTTGGTTGGAGGTTTTGGGAAGGAGTATAGGCAGAGATAGTCTATGAGTTCATACCCTCGATTTGTTCCACGTGTCGGAGGCGAGCCACAAGCCCGAATTATATCGAGCAGGCTTACGTGCAAAGGCTTCCAGCAAGGCAAGTGCAACAATTGTTCCCAATGGTGATACTTCTGTTAAATTACCCTCAAGGGAAGAAGGTTGGAACGTAGTCAAAGGGAGACAGCAGTTAGTTTACAAACGGAAGGGGACGGAAAGCACTGTGGCTGCTTCAACCCTTCCCTTTTTGTCAGAGAAGAATAATGTTGTTGTCTCTCTTGCTAACAACAGAGTGGATCCGAAGGATATCATTTCTAATGCTTTTGCAATTCTAGCCAATGTCCATGAGGATAACGAGGGGTCTCTTATTGAGCAGGCGGTTAGCTCTTCTGAGCAAAATTCAGTTGACATTTGCATTCCGTTGGGCGATTCGGATACGCAATAGGAGTATAAGATGACAACTATGACTCATGTTGTTAATACTGGTGGTGTGTCAGAAGAGGTCGCGACTCTATCGCCA